AGGTTCAGTCCACGCAATGCTGGCTTTGTCGAGGGGGGTTCCAAGAGGTCCAAAGGGGAGGGATGAAGATGGGAAAGAGCACCCCTACCGGAGCGCACGCACTCCTTTTATAGGGGTTGGGGCCCCTTGCTCACGCGCAGATCACACTTGCGTATGTCCTGTCTCCTTCGGACGCCTTCTACCTTGTTCACGCCTTGGGCCTTGCGCAAGCACATGGTGGTGTTTGTCTGCAGACCGTGAGGGTGGGATCTTCTGAGTGGCGGGAAGTGGTGGTACAATGGCAATGTTGAGACAAATTGCATTCAGTAATGGTTCTCTACAAAGGACATCTTTCTTTGTGCATAATATTGCAAGCTGAATAGTTGCTCTTAAAAGAAAGGTAATAGAGGATGGTCAAAAGCCTGTTAAATTGAGCCAAAATTATGTTTTCTTCTTTTCTTTGAGAAGTCTGCAAGTTTGCAGCCTTTTAGACTAAGAAGAGGAACTCTTGAGAGAAAGCAGTACATAGGCCTTCTATCTCTAGAGGATGTCTTTCTTCCACAGTCTGCTATGTTTACGACAGTTTTGCTGCAATGGATCACGCCTTTTAATCTTAATCTTCTTTTAAAGATACAACTAGCCCTCCACACACCCCTGCTGCCCGAAATAGTGACACTCATTCCTGTCTGCTACCCCATTTGGACTGTTGTTAAGTCCATGAGGGGCTTGGGGAAACAAGATGGCCGTCTCAACCTATTGACTCGTATCTTGTACTGGGATCTTTTAGTATCTTGCCAGGAGATAGTCTTCCAACATGGCTACAGTATAAAAAACTGTTCTAATATAAGGTATCGTAGCTCTGCTGATTTCAATACATTGCCTTTAGTAGAGATGTTCATACTGGCAGGGGTTTAACTCCAGTGACTGTGCAAGGCCATACTGTTCTTTTGAGACAGACCCTGGGTTTGTTTACATAGGAAATGAATTGGTTCTCCTCTCCAGGTATATTATATCAATCAACTGTAAATTCCTGAATAAGAGTGCCAAAATGAAAGCAGATAATTACAAGTACTTAAACATGTTTATTTTACCATATTTAATCCTTGTTAACCAGTTTTTTGCTTCTGAAAGACTAAATATACTGCTAACGTAATCCACACAGTGAGATAAGAACTGACTGTTTTGGTTAAACTCTGGTTGCAAAATACTACTGAGAAGGCCAAGTGACGTGGCTACGGAAGGGAAAATGAGAAGGGCAGATCCAATTAAGGTTTCTTTCCCATTGTTTGTGTGTAAGGATGGGTGGGGCATGACAAGAGAATTAAATGTACGCATTGGTTAGAAAAGACAGACAGCAACTGCAGTCAAAGTGCTACTTTAATGTAATGTATGTCTTCATTGTACATTGTGGCAGAGGGGTGAGGGCAGAGGGTGGAGATGAAACAAGAAGACCCCTTAGCTAATATATAAACATGCTAACGTGACCACCTTTTTGCTCCTTAAACTGGTACCAGTAATTAGATGTATATCAAAGTTGTGTTGCATGCAACGATTTTTTAAATTCTGTCCTCCCAATTCATTTTTGCTCTATTTATACAATATCTATTAGAAAATTATACATGCTTTCCGGAGAACCTGTATAATATATGTTGGGAATGTTACTTACCTGATTGATCAAATGTGATAAATTTGAAGGGTGGAGTATATGTTGAGGAAGCTCCATGTTTTTCTGTCAAGATAACATTTGCAGCAATTCAATTCACAGTTTTGTATCTATGAACTAATTCTGCTTCTAACTACAGAGCTAGGAATACAGACTGACTACACTGAGCGTAGTCAGAGTAGTTTCTGATGCTGTCAAAAATTGGATCTTTCATGCTCTGAATTTTTCCCCCTTGTGTAAACAGGGTGAAAAATAACAAAGGGGGTAAAGAACAGTGTTCTACCAAGGAGATTTGTGACCACCAAGGCATGAATATTCAAGGTATGAATAAAGTCTCTCTCTCATCTAAAAATCCATCTAGAACTGTCAGTTTCTAAAATAATCTTCTATGAAATAGAATCATAGAATCATAGAATGTTTTGGGTTGGAAGGGACCCCTAGAGGTCATCTAGTCCAACCCCCCTGCAGTGAGCAGGGACACCGCTAACTAGATCAGGTTGCTCAGAGCCCCATCCAACCTGGCCTCGAATGCTGTGCCATGGAAAATATATTTAGATGCTTTTCCTGTCTATATGCAGGTCACAAAACACACAAAGCTGGTGGCAAAATTGTATTTCTCACATTAATTATGGTAAGAGAAAAGGTCTAAAACTCCTAATATGCAGGAGTCATCCCAGTTCCTTGGATTAAAAAAAGCCCCACTTTTTCCGGTATTACGGTGGTGGGCTTCATTTGCTACATTTGAAAAGGAACTGGGTATTTTCAGTAGAACATTTGTACTGATCCAGCGTAAGCATGAAAATTGCTGAGCCATAAAATTGTTGTTCTGCGTTGTCTGGGAAAGCTATAATACAACATCTGTACCTTTATTACCGCTTAACTTGAAGGTTGCAGTCATAGAGTGGGAAATGCAGTTACAAGCTAGATTTGAAGGCAAGTAACTCTTTAAAAAAAGCATGAGGTGAAGTTATTTGCAAACGATCAGCAGAGACACAAGATTAGGGCGACTTCCTTGTGCCTCTGGGGAGAAGTTAAACCACGCAGCTTTTTAAGGCCGAGCTCAGGAAGTAAGCAGCCACCACGGGCCGTGCATCTCAAGGAACAGATTGCTTGAATACAGCATCTGCCTTACCACATATAAATTTAACGCGGTCTCCCTTCGCATGCACAAAGGTTTGGTGTTGCT